GGTAGTCGAGGCGGAGAGCGTGCTGCTTGGCCATCCGCCCAGCCATGAGCGCGGCGAGCGCCGTCGGCGGAGCAACCAGCCCGCCCGCGCGGGCAGGGAGCGGCTGCGCCGCCGCCTCGTGCGCGGAGGCGTCGTCGCACTCGTCGGCGACGTCGGCGCGCAAAAACAGGATGCCGTGGAGGGGCACGGTCTCCCCAAACGCGGCGGTGATTGGGTCGACGGCAAGCCTACCGTGCGGGTGTGCGCCGCTGACGGGGCGTGTGGGGCACTTGCGGCGGGAGCACGGGTCTCGTGCCGAGCATTCAGCGCACCACGGGGAGTGCACGAGATCTGGGGAGATCTGGGGAGATCTAGGGAGATCTGGGGAGAGATGGGTCTCGTGCCGAGCATTCAGCGCACCACGGGAGTGCACGAGATCTGGGGAGATCGGGGGAGATCTGGGGAGAGATGGGTCTCGTGCCGAGCGGAGTGCAACGGCTACGAGTACAAGGAGTCCGGCTGAATACGGGCGAGTGCAGTTGAATACGTGTCCTCCACACGTGTCCTCCCAGCGCCCGTGGGAAGTGTCCCGGAACTGTCCTCCCGAGCTCCCGTGGGACGACAGTAGAACGCCCGTCTTCCGCTTCTACGGTCGGCGAGCCAGCCGCGCGCGAGCTCGGCGCGCGCCAGCACCTCCGCCGCCCTCGTCCTCGAGCCGAGCGAGGAGCGCACCTCGTGCTCCGACGGCTCCTCCGCCGCAGCGGCGCGGCCGGCGCCCGAGGAGGGGGGGCGCATCCCTCGCATCCGGCGGCGCGGCGCGGCGCCAGAGGAGGCGTCGGCGACCTGCGTGATGGAACACACACGACCTCGGGGCGGGAGGACGGTGTCGTGCAGAGTCTTCAGAGCGCCGCGTGAATACGCGGGAGATACGAGTACAGACGATGGCAGCGGAGAAGGATGAGTTGTCGAAATCAGCAATTTGAAAGCCCGAGTCCGTGCTCTCGAGCGCTAGTTGGGAGACCAGACTCCGGATCCGGCTTCTAGGTTCGGCGAACCGCGGCGGCGACGAGCGCCTCCGCCTGGGCCTCGTCATCGCGCGGCGGCTCCTGGACCTGCGTGGTGGATACGCCGACATGAGGGCGGGAGGGCGGCTGTGCGGCGTATTCGGAGCACCGCGTGAATACACCGGGGTAGAAGACAGTGAAGGCAGTGTAGTAGCGCTCACTAGCTAGAGCTCGCACTAGAGGCCGTCATCGCATTCGCCTTCCTGGGACCCAGCGCTGACTTCTGACTGTCGATGCTGTCTATCCCTGTCTCGACTGTCTGAGCTTGTGCGTCTTGGGTCCGTGGTTGTGTTTTTGTGTGAAGGCAGCGGAACACAGCGGAGTGCAGTTGACTACGTGTCCTCTCGAGTGCTGGTTGGGAGACAGGAACGCGCATTCCGCTTCTAGGCTCCTGGACCCACCAGCCAACCTGCGGCGGAGGGCGGGCGGGCATGCGGCGAGCGGTGACCAGCTGCGCCGCCCGCTCCCCGTACAGCGACTCAAACAGCCGGCCGACATCCGCGTTGGCAAACTGAAAGCTGCCCAGGCCGAGGACGCTGGTGCGCGCCGCGAGCTGCGGCTGCTCGCTCGCGAGGCGGAGGGCGGACATCTGCGCCAGCGCCGCGCCCAGCGACAGGCCGACGAAGACGATCTGCTGCGGCGCGTCCGCGCCACACAGCCCAGCGAGCCAGCCGCCAAGGCCCTCGCCGAGCTGGTCCAACCGGAGGGAGGAGCCGCGCGTCGAGTGCTCAGCGTCCCACAAGTCGGCGTGGTGGCGGTGCACGCCGGCGTGCACGCGCATCGCCGCGTCCGGAAGCCACTTGACGCCCACCATCGACGAGTTGAGCAGCGCCTTGATGTCCTCGGACGGCGGCGCCGCCTGCCCGCGGCCCGGCCTCGAGGCGGCGTTGCTGTCGACGCGTGTGCCGCGAAAGGCGAGAACAAGCGTGCCGGGCGTGTGGTGCGGCGCAAACGCCACGCAGCGGCCCTCGACTCCGAACACCCCGAGCACCTTGTACCGGAACGACGGCCCGAGCTTCTCGCCCTCGGCGTCGCGGATAGAGTGCTCGACGCTGCTTCCGCACGCGTCGTGCTGCAGCGAGACGGTGTAGTCGCTCGCGAGCGCCTGCAGCGCGAGCGCCTCGCCCGTCCTGAAAAGGTGTGAAATCCACGGCACGGAGGCGTCGGCCTGCATAGCGCCGCAGGCCGTGAGCTAAGTCCTCGCGTCGTCAACGAGTGCCACAGGACCCTTGCCTTGATCGAAGTTTTTTTACAGTCGTCTGAAACCGACGCAAGGAGGACACAGGTAGGTGTGGCCCTGTGGGTGAAGTCTGGAGCTTCCGGGTGAACTCTGGACTGCCGCCCGCCACACAGGGTAACGCCCTCTGCCTCTTCGCCCGCCCTCTGCCGCCTCCGCTCTCCTCGCACGCGCTGTCGGCGCCGAGACCGGCCGCCGCTCATCCCCTCGTGTGCCACCGCAGGGACGACACCCTCGCGCGACGTCTTGAGCTGGTGCGCGTCGCGCTCGGTCGCCGCGTGCCCGCTGGCCACCGATCGCCGCCGCTCACTGCCGTCTCCTCTCCCAACCCCACCCCGCCCCGGCGGTTTGGCTGTAGAGCCTCTACAACAAACTCTACAGCAAAATCGCGCTCTACATCGCTCTACATCTGCATCGCTCTGTCCCGCGCCGAATGTAGAGCTCTACAGCTCTACAGCGCCCCAGAGCGCTCTACATCTCTACAGCTCTACAGCGCTCTACACTCTACATCCTCTACACCCTCCCTCAGCCCTGAGTCTGAGTACTGAGAGCTGGTCTGGGGCAAAATCTGGCACTTCTGGGGCAAAATTTAGGAAATCGGCAAACTACCCGGGTATTTTCTAGGTATACCCGGGGGTTTTCCAGGTACCCGCAAAATACCCCGGTATTTTGCCGATTTTGCCGATTTGGCTTTTGGGGCCGCCCAAACGCCAGCCTCAGACTCGGCTCAGAGCCCGGGAAATAGAGGGGGCTCTAGGGAAACTAGCAGGAAACACGGAATGGAAACAGAGGGGCGAGGAAACCCTTGGACAGGCCAAGTAGGCGCGGGCGCCGCGCTGGACTCCTCGCGACCAACCTCCTGCCGACGCCGCTCGCGGCTTTGCGCTCGGACGCCATCGTGCACGAGACGGAGACGGCCGACACGATCATGGGCGAGGCGCAGCAGAAGGACTCGGCCGAGGGCACCACCGCTCAGCCCGCGTTCTTTTTTGATCGTGAGCAAAGGGGATCGCTCGAGGCAGGATCGAGGAGCCCCTAGCACTCACTTTAGCTGCGCGCTCCTGCCCCGCTAATGCGCCTCATCGTCCTTTCGTCGTTGCTCTTCTTTGGCCCAACGCAGGCCGCTCCCGTGGGACAGAAGCAAACATTCAGGGGTAGAGCGGGAGGGACGATGCTGCCTCGCTCGATCAATCTTGTAATCGGGCCTGGGCCAAATTGGGCACGGTGCACAGCTGTCGACCATCGGAAATGGAAGACGGTTGACATGGTGAAGGAATGGGCAGACTATGTGGTGTACTTCGCCAACTTCAAAGGGTTGCCCCTCCCTGATGACTCTGTTGGCGCGATCTATGCGTCGCACACGATGGAGCACACGCCCATGCACGTTTCGCCTCGTATTTTCAAGGAGTTCCATCGCGTGCTGCTCCCTGGAGGTTTTCTGCGGGTCATCACGCCCAACCCGCGGGTGACGATGCAGCATTATCTCGCCGGCGACAACAACTTCAGCCTCTTCCAACGCCGGCGTCGCATCCAGCATAGCGGGCACAATTGGACCCCTTTTGAACTGCTGCGGTCAGATTTTCTCTCCGTCTCACACCAACCAGACCAGCTTGGAGGAACAGGGCTGGCACATCAAAATGCGTGGGACGCGGAGACGATGATCAAAGACTTTCATCGCGCTGGCTTCCGCACCGCATACGAATCCGCCTACAACCGCAGCCGGAGTGGCGAGTACTCGTTCGAGGGCCCTGGCGGCTGCCATTCAGAGGCTGACCAAGCGGATCGGTCGCTCTACGTGGAGGGCCGAGCGTAGTTTGTGGAGCTGTGGAGCTCCAATCGGGGGTACACAACGCGGGGGGGAAGCCTTACTTAGCAGAGTGAAGACTTTAGGCTCAGTAGGGTAAACGCCTGCTCGAGGACGAGGTTGGTGACGTACGTGTCTCGTTCCACCGCCAAAGTCGCATGGCAAGACATCCAGCGCATACCGCCAGGCACACATGCTCGCTCTACGTGTAAGCTCCCACTCGGGCAGTGAGTGGCTCTCCTCGATGCTGGCCGGCATTGCTGTCCAAAGCAAGCAGACAGCACGCACCCCACCGAATCGCGGTGGTGTGACGACGCCTCTGCCGTGAGCGGCATGGAGGCCCCTACCTTGAGCGGCATGGGGAACCTGGTTTGTGGAGCTCCCGCACCTTACCTAGAGAGTACGGCATTCGGGGCCATGATGTCGGTTCCCCATCGGACTTTTTTTGTAGTGGAGAGAATTGAGGAATCTATCTGCTGTAACCAACACTGTCATCGCTGTCCTCTATTCAGTGCAGTGTCGCCTTCCTTGGCGCTTGGCAGGACGTGCTGTGTGTGTTGATTAGTTCTGGATCCTGCCTGCCTGCAGAACAAGTTCCTCTTGTAGCTCGATCGGTCACACCGCCATCGCCGTCGGGGAGAGGGGGGACGACACTGCTTTGGCAGCGTGCACCTCGATCCTGTACCGTGTTTGTTATGACCCCCCCCCCCCCAATGAACACACCAGTGAGGGAGGGCGAGACGATCGAGGGGTCCCGTACCATGCGGAATCGACCCTATCAAGTGCTCAAGTGCTCAAGTCCGTCCGTGGCTCGGAGGGAGACTTCAAGACAGGAAGAGGGAAGGAGCGGGGCAACTGGGAATGTCAGCACCCCTGAGCTGTTAAGAGAGGGGAGGATTTGCGCTGTCCAGAACGTTGTCAGAACGCTGTCAGAACGCTGTCAGAACGCTGTCAGAACGGCCAGGTCTCTGTCAGAAAATGTGCGGGAGCTCCACAAACCAGGTTGGGGGTGCTGAGATGCGGCGGCGGCTGCGGCGAGTGGCTCCCGGCTGCTTCGTTCAAGGCCAAACAGAGGCAAGCGTCCGAGGACCGACGCCACTGCCTTGCGTGCGTAGCACAGCAGGCCCAGGCGAAGCAGCAGCAGGAGCAGCAGCGCAGAGCGACCAGCGAGCAGCAGCACGTACTGTTGGTGGCCGTCGTCGACGAGCTCGAGAGCGTGTACGGGAGCCACTGTTGCTGGAGCAGGAACCTTGCCTCGGCGGCAAGGGTTTTTTCAGTGTATGTGTAAGGTCTACGCCCTTAGTATGTGGCTCTTAGTCTTACGTACATTCCCGTAGGAGGACTCTAGCCGCCGCTGTGAGACACCACAGGCCCTTTGTGCAACACGGAGCCTCGTGCAACACACGAGAGCTGGTGGGGCGGCAGGGAGCCTCGTGCAACACGAGAGGTGGTGGGGCGGCAGGCGCGGCGGCAGAGGAGCGCGGCGGCAGAGGAGCGCGGCGGTGGAGGAGCGGTGGCGACGGCGCGGCGGTGGGGCGGAGCCGCGCAGCAGCCGAGGGGAGGAGAGGAGAGCCCGAGCCGGTCTGTGCGTGTGTGTTCCCCCGGCGGTGGTGGGTGTGTCTCACGGTGAGGTATATGCAGCCGAGAGGAGGAGAGGAGAGCCCGAGGCGGTGAGGAGCGGCGGTTCGGGGAGGGAGGTGAACCTGGTCTCTCCGGAAGACGTCCGGCCGATCGAGCTTCTCCAGCACCGCCCGGATCGCCGCGAGCGTCCCCCGCTCCGGCCGCGTCGTCCCCAGCTCATTCGCCAGCCAGCAGAGCGCTGTGACGGGCGAGTCGCAGACCGGATGCGCGTGTGGACGTGCGATGGGGCGGGCCGCGGGCGTGGCGGCGAGAGCGCGTGGCGGAGCTTCGCGGGCTTTGCGGCGGGCGCGCGAGCTCGGCGCTGGTGGGAGCGACAAGCAATTCACCCGTCCGTTGGTCAGCCTCGGAGTACTCGGAGCAGCGGAGCGACTCGCGCGCGGTGTCGAGGGCGGCGAGGGCGGCCTGCGCCCTCTCGTAAGACGCGGGAGCGGGGTAAATTGTCTCGGGGTGGCTCATCGACGGCGGAGAGGCCATCGGAGCCCTTTTCAGTGAAAAGCCGGGCTCGAAAAAATTGAAAAAGAATTTTTTTCGGCCAACCTCTGTGAGTGAGTATGTGTGTGTGTATGCGACGCGCGCCGCGTTGATACCAAAACATGTTCCCGTCAGCCCTCGTGCGTGCACCTCAACCCCGCCCTGGCAGTGCAACTCGCCGCTGCTTTGGTGGTGCAGCCCGGCGGAGGCGGCGGCGCGCCCTCGCCGACGGTGTTGCGGCTCAACCTTGCCTGCTCCCGCCGCGCCAGCGCCTTCAAGAGGCCACCCAAGCGCCGGCCTGCACCTGCGGCCGCTCCGACTGGGCACGCGATCCGTGGGCCGGTGGCAACAATCGGCGGCGGGGGCGTCTGGGCGGCCAAGGGAAGGCGCGTTTGAGCGGCCACAATAACGCACCTGCGGCGAGCGCGGCGCCCGCTCCCCCAGCGGCCTCGCGGCAGGGCAGGTCAAGACCAGCACAGCCGCCCAACGCGGAGCAGGCACGCATGCGCGCGGAGCCGAAGCAGCGAGGGGCGGCTGGTGCTCGAGACACCTCAAGCTGTGCTCAGCCGCGTGAAATGGGGTGCGCGCGGGACCTCTCAGGCCAGCCTAGAGGCCAGCCATGGAGCGCTCCGACGGGGGACGAGCTGCGTCTGAGAGAGACGCTGGCCCAGATCCTGTTTTGACGCCGCGGTTGTGCCGGGGAATGCATGAGAGAGGCGAAATCTGAGACATGCATTTCGTCACCTCACACTCACGCCATGTAATTCTTTTTCCCTGAGGCTGTTTTGGCGCGAGACCACGCTGGCGATTCACGATGGCGGAGGCAGCGACCGACACGGTGATCAGCATCGGCGCGCTCAGCCCGGAAGCGCTCGCGGCGCACGATTCGCGTGTCGGCTCTGTCACCGTGGGCGAGGCGTTCGAGCGCGGTGTGCCGCTGTCCATGCTGCAAGGCTCGATCCCGCAGGAGCTCATCGAGCGCGGCCGCGCACTCGGGCTGGAGCCCCCCCCGCGCGAGGGCGACCACGGAAGGGCAGCCACCTCAGCCGCCGCCGCGCCGGGTGGCCCGGGCTGCAGCATCCGGCCCGCCGCCATCTCGGACGCCGCCACCATCAGCGCGATGTGCGTGCGTGTCGCTTCCGCCCAGATTGACACCTCCGGCTTCACTCCGGTGGGGCGCTCCACGCTCTTTGAGGACATCCTTGGCGAAGCGGCCATCCTAGGCGAGCTGCAGGGCGGGGCGGTTGAGGCGTTCGTGTGCGTGATGGACGGCGCGATTGTCGGCTTCGCGGCGCGAAAGAGGCCGCTTGGCGCCGAGGCTGGCGCCCCACTGAGCCACGTGCGCCACATGTATGTCGAACGTTCCGGGGCCGGCATTGGCAAACGCCTGTGGGGAGAGCTCCACTTCCGCTTCGAGGAGGAGAGCGTCAGGCGTGTGACGGCCAACAGCAGCGCCAACGCGGTGCCGTTCTACGAGCGGCTCGGGTTCCGCAAAGAGGGCGGCGAGTCGGACGCCGGCGGGCTGCTTTCCCAGCTGATGGTGTACACGATGGATGCGGACGGTGAGTGAGTCTCTACCACGGCGTGGGTGTACGGTTGGATCCGGTGTCTCGCAAGGGCTTTTTAGCGATGTCACCCGCGCGCTGTGCACTTGGAGCACTTGGAAAAAGAAAGAAAACAGACAACCCAAGGGAGGGATGGGAGCACTTGGAGTGCAGGTAGCACGAATTCTTTATTCGCTGCTCGACCTCGGCGCCGGACGCCAACATCACGATGGCGGAGCGACCGGCGGCCTCTCGGTGGCATGGGACTACTCGCCGTGTAGAGAAAGAGCTGCGGGATCTGCCGGCCAATCCCGACGTTTCGAGCGCCGGCCCCATTCTCTCGATCGGCCCGATTGGCGAGGACATCATGCATTGGCAAGCAACGTTGGCTGGCCCGCCTGGCTCGCCGTACCAGGGCGGCACCTTTCATCTGGACATCAAGATCCCCAACCAATATCCGTGGAAGCCGCCGGCAGTGGCGTTCGTCACACGGATTTTCCACCCGAATGTCGTGCAGTCCCTCCGCCGCGGCTTCGACGGCGTCGGGGCTATATCCATCTATGGCGTTGGGGCCAACTTTCGCGTTGGTGTCCGGTTCGAGGGAAACTTCCTCTCTTCCGGCTGGAGCCCCGCACTCACGGTTGCCACGACCGTCATGTGCATCGTTTCCTTGATGCGCACTCCGTGCGCTGATGTCATCAACGTCGTTCGCTCTGACGCCGGCCACGCGTTCCTGTACGAGCGCGACAAGTACATGCGTGAGGCGCGCCGGTGGACGATTGCCTATGCCGGCGGAGCAGTTCCTGAGCGCCCCACGCTCTTCCAGCTCGCGGCAGCAAAGCTCAAGTCGGCCAAGCACGTGCCGGACGGCTTGCGGGAGCGAGTCAACGATGCGAGGCTCGAGCTCGGAATAGCGGACCTTCCCTTCAAGGTGGCGGGCCGAAAGCGACCGCGAGCGAGCGAAATTGAACGGCTCTTTCGGTAGCGCTGGTCCTCGGTTCGTGGCCGCCGCGCTGCTATCTTAGACTAAAGTAAGCCCACGCCGGGGCGCGACAGCTGTGGGTCGTGACTCGTGTCGCGGTGACGGCTGTATGCTGTGCCTTTGGTCCTTTGTTTATGACGATTTCTAGGAGGCCTCTCTCACAGTACTATGTTCATGCTCGGCTGGCCCATGGTGGGCTTCGTGTGCCGGATCGGCATGGCCTCCACAGACACCGCCTTTGTCGGCCACCTCACCAACGCGACGACCGGCGTCTTCTTTGACCGCCCGTACTCCGGGGAGGAGTACCTCGCCGCGGCGTCGCTCTCCGACATGGTGGTCAACATCCTGATCGTGCCTCCGCTCGCCTTCAACCAGGTGCTCAACGCGCTGGTCGGGCAGGCGCTCGGCTCGGACAACAAGAAGATGGCCGGCACGTGGCTGCAGCTCTCCGTCTTCTTCCTCACGACGAGCTACCTGCCCTTCATGCTGATCCAGTACCTCTTCACCGCCGACGTGCTCAAGCTGCTTGGCTTCAACCACGACATCTGCGAGCTCGCCTTTCGAGCGGCTGGGCGAGGGCCGGGCGCGGCGCTTTGCGGGATGCCGGGATCGCGTGGCCGGCGGACGGAGATGGTGCACACTGCCCGCAGCAAGGCGGGCGGCGGCGGGCGACGCCGACCGACGATCGATCGATCGTACGTACGTACGTATGTATCTGAGTGAAGAAGATCACTGGACACCTCTCGCACTCGTTCGTAGCAAAAAATACGCAAACACCGCTCTGCCAACAGTCTGCTAAAATATCCCAGACCCTCGAAGACCCGTACCCAAAACGTACCCTTCCCAGCCTTTGCTCTTGGTGGGTCAAGCGCTCAAGCGCAACAACGCGCCACAACTTTAAAACCAGCATGTAAACGCATCGCAGCCTTCCCCTCCCGCTGTCCCTAAGCTACCGACGATCCACCACATGCCCTCCGACACATATGGTGTGACCTTCTACTGCTCTCTTCCGAGGGGCCAGTCCGCCTCCTTCGAGGTTGAGGTGCATCCAGACTGGGCGCCGAACGGTGCGGCCCGCTTCAAGGAGCTCCTCGAGGCTGACTTCTACACAGGTACGAGTTTCTTCCGCGTGGTCAAAAACTTTATTGTGCAATTTGGGATCCACCCGAGGCCGGACATCTCCGCCCGGTGGACGAACCGCACCATCCCGGACGACCCTGTGCTCAAGAGCAATGATCGCGGGCTTGTCTCCTTCGCCTCGTCGGGCCTGCGCAGCAGGAACACACAGCTCTTCGTTAATCTAAATCGCAACGTCAACCTCGACGGCATGGGCTTCGCCCCCTTTGGCGTCGTCGTCGGTGACGGCATGACCGTTGTCGATCGAATCTTTGCAGGGTATGGCGAGGCGCCGCAGCAGGCGCGCATTCTTGCCGAGGGCGCCATGTACCTCGAGCAGAATTTCCCCAAGCTGAGCTATGTGCGGCGCGTGCGGATCGGCACCGATCCCTTTGGAGCGCAGCGCCGCGATCGGAACAAGTTCTCCAGCAGCGTGATGAGGCGGGTTCGGCCAACCTCGCGGCGCGCGAGGAGGGAGATTCGGAACGCGCTCCAGGAGGCGCGGCGGGAGAGGAGGGAGAGCGAGATCGACGCGGCAAATGCCTACCGCTGGGTCGAGATGCCGACCATGATTGGCTAGCTGTGTGTGTCTCTTGTGAACCTCACCTCAAATGTCATTAAATCTGCCCCAAATTCTTGCGCACCAGTACCGTGCCTAGTGTTGTGGGGTAGTAAAATTCTTTTGTGTACCTGTGCTAGTGCCAGTGCGCGCCAGTCCCGTGCCCAGTGTTGTGCGAGGGAGTGGAGGTGAAATTCTTTTGCGCACGTGATATCCCTTGCCGCCGAGAGACGCCGGCTGCTCACAATGGCGGACGAGCTCACGGTGGACGAGGTGAACCTCCACTCGAGGGCATTGTGAGCTGGCCCGCTCAAGCTTGCACTCGTCACATGCTCCCCCGCTGAGCTCGTCACGACCTGCCCCGCAGCGAGGAGCTGGACCGCAACGGCGATGGCTTTGTCGACCTGAGCGAGTTCCAGGCATCGATGGAGGCCACGGGCAAGCGGGCAGGGAAGCCCGTCTCCTTTGAGGCGGTGCGCAAGACCTTCGATGACCTCGACGTGGACAGCGACGGCCTCATCTCGTACGATGAGTGGATGGCGGCGCAGCTGCGGATCAAGCGCAGGCGGCTGGCACGGGAAGCGAAGCGCGAGACGAGGCGCCAGAACCAGCGCCAGTCAAGCGGGGCCAGCACCGGGGCGTTGGGTCTGAACCGCGGAGCCTCAGACCGGGCGGCTGATCGCGAGGAGGAGCGGAGGCGCGTGCAGCGGCTGATGCAGAAGCGCTCCGTCTCGTTCCTCGACGAGTGCCCGCCGCCCGCAGAGGCGCGTGTTGCGGAGCTCGATGCGGAGCCGGAGGAACGCGAGCCGCCGGCGCCTGCGCCCCCTGTCCTCAAGCCGGCTCTCAGCTCTGTCGGCGCGCTGTACGCGCTGCTCAAGAGCGTGGCAGCGCAGGACGACCACCCTGCGGCGAGTGAGGCGGCGAGGCTGCTCGCCTCTTCGCCCGACTCCGAGGCTGAGGAGCACTCCACGCTAGGGCGGGTCACAGGATCCGCCAGCGCCCTGGCTTGCGCCGAGGAGGAGCAGGGCGAGGAGGAGCAGGGCGAGGAGGAGCAAGGTGGGAAGGGCGAGGCGGAGGCTTCGGATGAGAATGGGGGGGCGGACGAGGCAGCGGAGGGGGTGGAGAAGCAGGAGGCGGAGGAGGCGGCGGCGGAGGAGAAGGAGGGAGGCGATTCCGACGACGAGACGGGGTCCGAGGACTCGTGTGGGAGCTCCAGCGACGAGGACGCGGGGGGGAGCGACGGTGGCACTGTCGCCGCCACGGGCGGAAGCGGCGCGATGGGCGCGGGGCTAGGGGACGGGGGCAGAAGGGGGATGTCGTCTTCCTCCTTCGCGCTGAGCATGCTTTTCTCGAGCTCTATTCTCGAGATCCTCTTCTCTCAGATGCAGTTTACCGGCCTCAACGTTGCCGTCTTCAAGTGCTTCAGCTCGGAGGTTCCGAAGCCGGCCCGCGACGCGTGGGGCTCGGTGCTCGGGTGGACGGAAACGCTCAACTCGCTTCGCCTTGCGGAGGTTTCCGAGTCTTTCGGCTTCGAGGATCTCGCCGAGACGGTCTCCGACCTGCCCTGGTCGTGGTTCTACCTTGTGTTCGCGTGCATCACGCCGCTCTGCATATCCTTCCTCGTGCTGCTGCTCTTCAAGAGCACCTTCGATGTGCTCTGGCTCTTCGCCATCACCGCGGGCGTGGGGACCACCCTCGTCGGCTTCCTCCTCGCCTACTCTGTGCCGATCGAGGACCTGCTTCTCCTAAACCCCAACCTCTCCCCCGAGGTCTTCACCTGGGCGTACACGATCGGCCTGGTGATGGTTGGCGGCGCACTCTTCGTCCGTGCGGCCGCCGGATGGTTTCAGCTGCGCGTCACCTTGGTCAAGGCCAAGTTCAAGCTGAGGCTGACAGCCGAGCGGTACAAGCGCAAGGACACCGCCTCCATCGCCCGCTCGCTCGCCGCCGTCGCCGCGAGGAGCCGCTACGGCGCGCCGCGCCCGCCGATGGACCTGATCCGCACGGCGATCCTCGGCGCCGGGTTCTTCTTGATCGGCGTTGGGCGGTACATCGACGCCACGCGGAGGGCGCCGCCGGCGCAGGACGGATCGAATATCAGCCCCGGTCCTCTGGTCGTGGAGGATGCCAACCCGCTCTACTCAGTGGCGGTGCAGGTGATCGCCTTCTCGCTCTCGGCCTTCTGCTTTGTTTTCCTCGCCCTCTGCCTCTTTGAGACGGGCCGCAAGCGGCTCGAGGACGCCGCCACACTGACCAACCAGCTCGCCATGTCGGGGCTGCTGTTTTGCGCGTCATTCCTCTACGTGCCCATCGCGCGATTCGTCTTCACCGCCTTTGTGGCCGATGACGAGGTCTGCGACGCTGGGGAGTGGTACCCGACAGCGCCATCCCTCTTCGGGGCGCCGTCGCTCTACATCCGGACAGCAGATGGCCAATTGGCACCTTTTGAGCTGGGGATCAGCGATGAGACGAATGCGACGGCCTGCCAGCAGTGTCAATTCATCAACTACGGCCCGGCGGACGGGTACACGCGTTCGACAACGTGTCCTGCCTTCGACTCCGTCGGCTTCGTCGCGTGCCCGGGTGAGGAACGCACCGTGCTCAACGCCGAGCGCGCGCTCGACTTTTACGACTCCGTCGCCCCTTTCTACTTTCCCGCGTCGATCCTGATGTTCATCGGCTTCACGGGCATGTTGATCGTGTTGTTCGCGCGCGTCGTCTCGCACCACGAGCGCGAGCTCGAGCGCGTCCCCATCGACCCCGCCGCACTGGCGGAGGTGGCCGAGCGCGAGGCGGCTAAGAAGTGGAGCGTGTGCGGAATGCTTTCGTGCTCCAACCCGCGAACGCAGACGGGCCCGCTCACGCTCACGCGAGGCATGATCGGAGGCTCGGCGGCGGCGCTCAACCGAGGTCTCTCCCGCACCTTCTCTCGCGAGGGCGGCACCGCGACCGACGTCGAGGACGGCGCGGTCGCCGGTGAGGGCGGCACCGTCCGGGGCCCCTCCCGCGGGCTGTCGCGCGGGCTGTCGCGCGGGCTGTCGCGCGGGTGCCC